CCTGGCGCGATATGGTTCATGGGGTCACGAAGAGTCGGACACGACTTAACGACTGAACAACAACTGAACAACAAAATATGATTGGCTACTGTATAAGGTCCCCTGAGTTGATTTTAGGCTGATTAATCCGTATTGAATTCAACTCCAAATAGGAGTTGGATGTTTCTGGGATTCAATGTGTAGAATATGAGCTAGGACTTCTATCTGCCTACCTTTATACTGTTACAGTGAATGCCTCCTTAATCAAGTTGTGATTTGCTTGTGCTAGGATTTGATTCCTCCTTCCTCGTCTTGTTCTTTTTTCAGCACTCTTGCCTATGTATCTTTCCTGTATACATTTGTATTCCAAATAAGAATAGAGAAAATCTGTTCTGGCCTCATTCAGTTGGTATCTCTTGCCATTTACATAATCTCTTTTTAACAGCATGCAAAGAAGAAAGCTTCCGCTGTAACTCAGATGTGTGTATTCCAAACAAGTACCTGTGTAACAATGAAATGGATTGCCTAACAGGAGAAGATGAAAATCCCCAATTATGTAAGAATAAACTTTGAAATTATTTTTAACTAAGTTCAGGCATTGTATAAATGGATTCTGTTTGGATGAAATATTCTAGCAACTGTAAATAGAGATAGCTGAATCCATCACACTGGAACTTTTACATAATCTGTTTGGAGTCCTATCACTAGACGAATATGGTAAGTGAGATTCTTGGCACTAAGAGTGTCTTGCTTCAATGGTTACCCATTAATTCTCTGTATTCTCCTGATAATAATGTGGAAGTGAGATCCCACACACAGCATATCTTTAAAGCATCTATGCAACTTTCAAACTTCTGTATGAGCCAGACTAAAGACATGGCTGCTCTAATGAGTTGACTCATTGAAGCAGCTAAGTCTTTAATGTGACTGCTTTAAAGGGGTCCTGTGCTCATGCTCTTATTCATTCTGGTGCACCTCTTCCAAAGTATTTTTAAAATATGCACAATCCTAATACACCCACATACTTGTATCTATGTACACACAATTTTGCAGTTGCACTTTTGTTCTTTTAGTTACTTGCAGTCTTCTAAACAACTGTGAGAGGTTCAAAACAGCTATATAGCATTAAGTTCACTGTGATTCATATATGAGCATTGTGTCATTGGCATTTAAAATAAAATAAAACCTTAATTTTTATAATGGAAATTAACTCTGCAAACTTATCTGGAATGTTTCTCAGTGAAGGCTATACTCTTTTGTAGGGTTGCTGTAATTCATATTTCTGGACTGTTTTTCTAACTTAGTAAGAAAATCATCTGAAAGCTTCTGAAATGTAGATCCATATATAATGCAAGCTAGTCAGATTGACACCTTAGCATGTGTTGATAGTGTAAACTGAATTTACTTTTGTATCTTTTACTTCTATATAAATGTTTGTTTCAAACAGGTAATAAAGCAGCTAATGAACCTGGAAGAGGTAATATTTCTGTTCTGATACTGTTTATCGTTCAGTTTCTAAATACAAAAGTATTTTTATAATTCTTTCTTAATAATGCCTGGTTCTTTCAAAGAAACCCTACCCTTAGAAACTAGGAACGATGTTCTACATTTAGACGGTACCCAGTTTTATGTTGTTTCTTCCCCAGTGATACGGGTGGAGTCTTCTTTCTGTTAGCGGAAAGCTTTTAAGAAACTGCATCTCATCATCTACACCAAACACAATCTCAGCCACTTGGTTCAGGACAAAAAATGTGGATAGTTACAGCCATTACAACTCTGTGGAAAACATTTTCTATTGGTATTTAGAACTGCGTTACCAGTAGTCAGAAAATAAAATTGGCTTACTTTGCTCTTGTGCCATTAACAGTTTTTCTATGCAGGAATTAGAAAATAAGGGCAAGCATGCCTATTTCCTACTTTACTGCACTTCAAAGGGCCATTACAAGCCCAGCTACGGGGACCAGTTCAAAAGCTGGCCACATTGTCGCCCAGGACTTTCATCTGAGCTGGCATTTTGATTACTAATAACTTAAAATAAATGGAAATTATTCTTTTACTGTAGAAGATAGGAGGAGGGAGGGGGAGGAGGAACAGGAGACAATGCAAGTAAATGTGCCCATGGATAAAGGGAAGGGTCAAATGAAAGGTAACCCTTCCTTATGAACAGCAAAGTTTGGTGATTTTATTTTATTGTTCTGATTTTTAAGCAACCCATTGCTTTATCCACTGTTCCGATGCCTTCTTTAACACTCTGCATTAGACCTATATACCATATTTCTCTGTTCATCTTGTTCTCCTGGCACACTTGGCAGGATGGTATGCCTGCCATTTCTTTCTTATTGAGACACAGATGTGATTTCCAGATACACACTTTGAGTTGCATCTTATGTTCACAGCAGTTTTCATATACAGGTGGGCATCATACCCCACAGCCTGTCCTCTATAGCTCATAGCATAACTGAACTAAGGATTATCTTTCATTCCACATTCACTTTCATTTTCTCTTGCACAGTTTTATTTGAACAGAGGACCGAAAATAGGGAGAGTTTGTCACATTTGATGTAATACAACTCTAAGACTAATTAATATTGCACTATTTAAATTCAGTTAATATTCTTATTCATACGTGCCATAATTTTCATGTGCTGGCATATCAAAAATAACCAGGCAATCATTTGAATGAAGGAGCTCCATGGAGAAACATTATCAACCAGGACTGGAACATTTGTAGTAGATGGTAGCATATAGTAGCTTCAGGCTTCTATTGATATAAGCAATTTAAGCTTTTTACATGATGATAAATAATATGTCCTGCTAATATTATAAAAGAGCTACAGAAGGCCAGTGTAAAAATTGGAAACCTAGCAATTAAGGGATTTGAAACACATTTTCCCTCCCTTTAATATCTGTTACAATAACGCTAAACTACGTCTATATTCATATTTATCTGCAGAAGGAATAGGACATGCTGAAGAATCTATGGATAAAGGTAAATGTGCAATAACATGGCATGGAGAGATGAATTGCCCCTTGTTTAGACTGCTTTTGACAAAACTCAGCATAATGGTATTTATGCTTGTTCTGGATTCAATGCTGCTTTGCTCAGTGGCAGACACATGCAAAAAAAATCTTGACATTTTTGACATCCCCTCCCCTTAGAGGATGTTCCTGCTCAGTAAGACTCACGAATAGGCATGGGTGTACAACCTATGGCATAGTTCACACTTTTGATCATTAATCATGCCCCACATCCATCCATATTGGAACGAACAGTTTGCCGTGCAGAACATAGACTATAAAAGATTATTCCTTATATTTCTAGTAATTACTGTAATAATTAAAAGCTATGAAATGTAAAGTAGTGAACAATTTCTTTTTTAAATTGTACTTCAAAGGTATGACATTGTTTCTCTGCTTTATTAAAGAAAGAAAAAAGATCAAGACCCTTTTACCTCAGCTGCATTGTGGCGTCGTCATCCCCATCAGAACTCGTAAAAAGAGGATGCTAGGGGGATACGCTGCAGCACAGGTAAAAGCCAGCAAACACTGAAACAATGAATTATTTATGCATTTGAATACAGTGGTACCTTGGTTCACGAACTTAATTCGTTCCACGACTCTGGTCGCGAACCGAATTGGTCGTGAACCGAA